GACAAATCAAATCCACTCCATTCGCTTGACAAAATGCCTGAAACCGCTGTTTTAATATTCGACCAAATAAATTTCACTCATTTTTTGCCAGATTTTTATTTCAGATCAAAGATTAGAGATTTTATGACATATCGTCCTATGGCCTCTCCCTTATGTTTTCAACATTTATCTTACGGTATAACTTAAAGTCTTATATAAAGACAAATCTGTGTCACAATCACTGTATTTGCGGCAGTAGGATAAGATGTATACAGCTTAAGGGACCAACGCGCCCTTATTCTAGCTGTTCCTTTGCTAATTTACTAAGTTATCAGAAAAAATTTACGTGAATAGCTATAACTTCTCCCATTCAAACCTCTCCAGTATAACTGTGTTGAAGGCAGTGACCTATGGATGCAAAACATGATCAATGACAAAAGCGGGAAAGCAGAAACTGGCTTTGACGGTGAAAGCGATGGCGCACAAAATGTTTTAAAAATATACTACTACTGAAAGTATGTGTATAATTTTCTGTACGCGTATTCTTTTACCTAATTTTCATCTGCAACTATTTGATCAACCCTAATTAGATGGTAGTTATACAGGAATAAAGTTCAGGAACAAAAAATAACATCAACAATAAATAACTAACCTTAACAACATCGGAACCAAATAAGTAGCCAGCGCCACGCGGACTCACACCCCAGCCAATGCTATCTTCTGGATCGGACCATAGCAAATCACACATTGGTCCATCATGTGGTACCTTAAAATTCCTTCAGTTCCTTGTAGTTCTGCGAAAAACATCGGATAAAATTTCGGATTTCTTCTTTTTTTGCCAGTTTTTGTATTGTCTTTGTAAATACCTCTTGTTTCCTATCGATTGTCCTAATTTGATCCAGATTCTGGATTGACGGTGACAGACCACCGTGAACACAGAACACCTTGCCCGCGATAACCGCAGAAAGGCTCAAACAATCGAACACCTCCGTACAGCACCTAAAAAATAAATACTGAATGTTTTAAGTAAAAAAACTGCCGAACACAGTACAGTGGCAAGCAGTGCCAATCCCTTTATGACTGTTTATTCGTTTCGTTGGCAAGATGATACTGGTGCATGTCTGATACTTAGAGCTGAAAGTAACCTCCGGAATCAGAAGCCATCACCGGAAAAACAACCGGGCTTCGTGCAAAAAACTGATAATCATGCATGCTCGAGGTTCATGGGGCCCCATATTGCAACATCTCCATCCCAGCCAACACTCTTTTTCCCATGAGGCACAAAATTCAGCCAGCTGCCAGCGGATGGT